AGAGTTACTCAAGCCCAGTGTTAATCTTAGGAGAGAAGAAAATTAAAAGACTCTGTAGAGTGGAAATCTATTAGGATAATTTCCAGACTCACTTTAGGAGAATGACTACTAGAAGCAGCATAGTGTAGCAATGTGACAGGACCTGAACTCAGTCTGCGTCAAAATCCTTTCGTGAAATCTTGGTTCTGTTTCCTGTCCATGGATCCATGGGTAAGATGCTTAACTTTTCTATGCCTCTGTTTCCTTATTATAGGTAGAGAATAATGGTACTTCCCTCCCAGAGTTGTTCTGAGGATTGAAAGAGTTAATAAATGTACAGTTCTTAGAACTGTGCTCAGCAGACAGCAAGCACTCATTAAATGTCAGCCATGGTTACTTCTGGACAATCTATGAGCAGGCCCTGACCTTCGAAGGGGCCCACTCTTGGTTTAATGCCCTGCTTTTGCCATCTTAAAATTCTTAGTATTGATAATTTGTAAATAAGGACCCCACATTTCCATTTTGCACTGGACCCCACAAATTACGTAGATGGTTCTGTCTACAAGATTGTTATGGTTAAAATCTCAAGTCTATATAGTATTGAAACTAAAATGACCAACCTGGGCATTATCTTATGGAGAAAGACCAGATTTTCTCTAAACAAAATTTGAGCTAAGGTAAATAGTCTATGCACATTTGCAGGGACCCAGTGATTACTTGTTTACAGTGATACAATTTAGTGATAATAATAGTGTACCTTTTCATTTGTGCTTCAAAGGTTTAGTATTACCTGACGTCTGTACTTGTCAACATTGAAATGAACAGTAGCCAGTCTTAAACTTAAAAATATTTCTATTACGATTCTAAATTTCCTGTATTAGTTTCTAGGTTTTTTAAATATAGATTTGTCTTTTTTTCTCCTAAAGATGGAGACAACATAGTATCAGTTTTCTGCATTCTCTAAAGTGCCCATCATAGTCCTTGGTGACTCGTCATTACTTAGTAAATCATTTTGAAGATGACCAAAAATGTGATCATATGTCATTGATCTCATGAGTGATGGTGGACATATCTGGGCAATAATGAAATTAATATATAATCAGCCCCTTCTCTCAGTATACATTTTGATTGTTTTCAGTTCATGGGCTTTGATTGAAATGTAAAAGCTAGGTTATGTGGAAGACTCTGTGCTTATTTTGTGGAAATTGCTAGCAATCATTCCATGATGCCCAAAGGATTTTTCCCAATAATATCCCACTGTAGGCCTTTATTAAATTCCAGAATATTAGAACTATATGGGACCGTAGAAATCATTTTCTCAGTGCCTGATTTTGCAGATGAGGAGACTGAGACCCACAAAGGTTGTGATTTCTGAAAGTCTCAAAGTTCATTGGTGCTTGGCAAGGGGTTCACCAACATCCTAGGTTGTTTGACAGGGGATGATCCATGTGGTGGGGCAAAGTCTGGGGCATAGATGAGTCATTCCAATGTGGGTAACCCATCAATAAGGAGCTGGTCGCCATTGGCTGGTATTAACCACCTTGTAGGACCACAAACAGAATACCTCAGTCCCAACTCAACTTTCCTCTAGCACTGGGTTCTTCCTGGGACAGAGGCTTGAGATTTCTTAAGCTAATATTTTCTCCCTCCCTTCTCCCTCCTTCTTTCTTTTTATATCACTTTCTCTGGAAAAACTGCACTGCAAGTATGCCTTTAAATCTTTCTGTATCCATGTTTAGACCAGCAGCTTTTGCACATAAAGTTTGAGTATTGGCAGCCTTTGTTTCTAGTGCTGTGGAAAGTGAGTCTAGCTGTGAAGAGACCCTGGGGGTACTCCTGAAAGCATTTGGTGCATCCGAGAGCAAGCTGGGGTAGATGTGAAGCACATTAATTGATACTTCAGAGCCTTAACTAGAACTTATGGGCCTTGCTTCCCCAGATGCCCCATAACTCCTTTTGAAATTGGTTCCATTTATCTTCTGGCTTGCTCCCTTACTTAGAGAGACATCCCTCCCTCTCCCCCACTTTTCTTCTCTGGCCTGGCTCTGCCAGTGAGGAGGCAAAAGGCTGCTGGGAGCAATACCTGTGTGCTTTGTTGGCTATTCCTGTGCCAGAAGCAGCAACCTTTAGGCAGCCTGTTGGTCCCACTACCAGGATCACAGGAGGCAGGCATCAGGGCATGTATTAGTCCATGTTCACACTGCTGATAAAGACATACCTGACACTGGATAACTTATACAGGAAAAAGGGGTTTAATGGACTTATAGTTCCATTTGGCTTGAGAGGCCTCACAATCATGGCAGAAAGCAAGAAGGAGCAAGTCATGATATATGGCAGCAGGCAAAGAGAGAGCTTGTGCAGGGAAACCCCCCTTATGGAACCAACAGATCTCATGAGACCTATTCACTGTCATGAGAACAGCACAAGGAAGACTTGCTCCCATGATTCAGTTACCTCCCACTAAGTCCCTCCCACAACATGTGGGAATTCACAATGAGATTTGGGTGGGGACACAGCCAAACCATATTAACGTATGAGCCTGAGGGTTCCTTGTTCTTGGCAGTGCAGACAATGTGATTTTTTTTTTTAGAAAGGCTTTTTCTTTAAGTGCTACCTGTCAGGTGAGGGGGTTGAGAACCCAGGGCACCAGGACTCCTCTTTACCAGATGGAGCTGAGTTAACAAGAAAGGGTGAGGGAGAGGAAATTGCTACATGGATTCTGGTTGTTCACTTGAAGATGCAATGCAAACCTGTGCACTTTAACTGGGCTGGGAAAGAGGACCAGCTCTGAGGGATGCAGAGCACCCTTAGAGGGTACATGAGGGAAAAGAGCCCTACTGTGTCACTGCCTTGGTAACACTTTGGGTGGAAGCACGTCACCTTAGTAGATATGGGAATCTAGGGTCTTTCTCCCAACAATATAGGAGGCCTTTAATGTTCATTGCCTTTGTCTTTAGGGGATTTTCAGAGCTTTGAGCAATCTGGGCAGGAGGACAGTAGGACAGTGAGACTTTCTATTGATAGCATCACTAGAGACCTTATCCAAAACTAAAAACCTCAGAAACATTTGGCCTCTTCACTTACTGGCTGTGTAAACTTGGAAAGTTACTTCGTCCCTTTTGTGCCTCAGTTTCCTCATCTGAACGTGGAGATCAAGTCTGCACCTGCTATATAAGATTATTCAACCATCGTAATGAGATAACATATGTTAAAACTTTAGAACAGTGCTTGGTTTGTCGCAAGATCTTATTGAAAGTTTGTTATTATTTTTATCATTATTGCTGTGATGTGGTCAGGTGTGTGTGTGTGTGAGTGTGTGGTTATGATAGCCAACACCAAGGATTTCATTGTCACTCATGAAGAATAAAAATATTTTTTGTTGTTTGTTTTTGAGACAGAGTCTCACACTGTCACCCGGGCTGGTGTGCAGTGGTGCAATCTTGGCTCATTGCAACCTCCACCTCCCAGGTTCAAGTGATTCTCCTGCCTCAGCCTCCTGAGTAGCTAGGATTACAGACACCTGCCACCACGCCCAGCTGGTTTTTTTGTATTTTTTTTTTTTTTTTTTTTTTAGTGGAAACACGGTTCACTAAGTTGGCCAGGCTGGTCTCAAACTCCTGACCTCATGATTCGACCACTTCGGCCTCCCAAGGGAGAAGTGACCTCTTTGGGATCCTCCATCCTGTTGGGAAAAGGAGGTAGTGCTTATCAGATTTAAGGAAGTATTCTAAAAACTACGAACTCACATTGCAGTACAGTCCTAATCCCACACCATTATTAGACTGCTGGCTCAGAGTTCTTCTGGCTGAAGGTTCTCAAGCATCACATGTCTATTGAGCACCCATAGGATACAGAGCTGGGGCCCTGGCATACCCATTCATCAATTCATTCATTCACTTAAACATTTGCTGGGCATCTGTTATGTTCCAGGCACTAGGAAAGGGCACTGGCAGAGATAACAATATTTGCCCTCAGAGAACTTAGGCTCTAGTTGGTAGGTAGCTAATAAACACATAAACCAGTCATTCTGTAATATGCTATCATATTACAGAATGTGATCAGCATATGAAATAAGGCAGGATGAAGGGATAAGTATTATTGATAATGGATTGGTCTGTGAAAGCCTTTCCAGAGGAGGTGATACTGAACAGACTTGAATGAGTGGAGTAAGAGTGTCAGAGGCAGAGGAAGTGGGAAGTAGCAAGGCTTTGATTTACAGCTGAGTGAAGAAGGCAAAGGGGATGAAGATTAGAGACATGGGCAGGGGCTGGGAAATAGGCAGGGTAAGGATTTTAGATTTTATTCTGAGCATTATGGGAAGACATTGGAGTATTTGGGCTGGAGAGAATGGTGATGTGTGCTTCAGAGTGATCACCCTGACTGCTGTACAGATAGTAGGTTATAGAAGGTCCAAGGGTAGAGGCAGAAGCAGAAACCAGTTAGGATGTTATTACACTAACCTAGGAAACAACCCCAGGAAACTTGGCCTAGGATGATAAGAGCAAAGATGTGACAAGTGAGGTTAGAGCTAAAAGAACTTAACTTCTGTAACATGTCAGGGAAAGAGAAGCATCCAGGATGACTATTAGGTTTTTGATCTGAGCAACCAGAGAAGTGGGGTTGTCCTTAACGGAGACGGGGAAGATTGGGAGAGGAGCAAACTTGGCAGGGAAGTCTACAGTCCTACCCTGAACTGCTTTGGTTCATCTGGACATATGTATTAGACAGCCGAGTGGAAGTGTCTAAATAGGCGGCTGGATAAGAGACTGAAGGGAACATCAGGCACTGGGGCCTGGTGGGGGATAGGGGAGGGATAGTGTTAGGAGAAATACCTAATGTAGATGATGGATTGATGGGTGCAGCAAACGACCAAGGCACATGTATACCTATGGAACAAACCTGCGTGTTCTATACATGTACCACAGAACTTAAAGTATAATCGTAATATTAAAAAAAAAAAGATTTAGGAGTTATCATATATAGGTTTAGGTAGGACCATTGAACTTGTCGTTTTTTTACAGGTGAAAAAGATTGATCATCAGATGTTTCTTATGATTCAACTTGATATTTAAATCCATGAAGGAGTGAGATGACAAAGGCAGGTAAATTGACAGAGAAGAGGTCCCTGGTCTGCGCCCTGCGTTGCTGGAACTGTTAGAGATTAGGAAGAAGAGGAAGACCTGGCAAAAGAACGTGGTGAGATATAGGAAGAAAACCAGAAGCTGTGGTCACTGGAAATCAAAAGAGGAAAAGGCCTCCAGAAGGACAAAGTGTACAGTGTGTCAAAGGCTCCTGAGCAATCAGAGGACAGCACAAAAGGGGTCACAGGACACTGGCACCTGGATCACCCAGTGACATTTCCCAATTATGAGAAACTGTCAGAACAACAGGGGCACTTTCTGCACCAGCAGTTCTTCAGTGCCCAAAGGCAACCTTGATGGTCTAATTTTGGAGGATGGCAATTCATTGACAGCACTCCCCAAATGATATACGTAAAAACGAATAAAACCCCCCAACCAAGGCAGCCTCTCCCAGCTCCTGGCTTTGAGTGAAGTGAGTAACCTCCATTTCTGCCAACTCCTGCCTTGTCGGAAGCCACATTTCTCCAGCAATGTCACATATGCATTTCTTGATCCTGGTCATTTCTCCTCTTGGGAGATGAATCATAAAGAAAATGAGATCTGTGTGCCCTGGTGACTATGTATGTAAGAGTCTGCTGCCCTGGAGGGAACAGCTGGAAAATAAGTAGGTGGTGAAGCGGGGGAAAAAAACAATGGAAAGGCATCTTTGCAGGGGATCAAGGTGACAGTGATCGGTTATATCGTTTGGATATGTGAGAGAAGGGGCTTATAGAAATGAAATAGGAGGAGGGAAAGTAAGGACCAAAACATGAAGCCAGTCTTGAATATTTTTACATAAGAAGAAGCAGATTTACAGGGAATGTGTGATTTTTCAGATTTTCTGCCCCAGGTTAGCAGGGGTAGCACAAAGAGCCTTATTGTGGAGCTGGGCTTTGGGTAAAAGATAAATAGCCGTCCTTTCTCTCCAGTGTCTCCTTCCTTCTGGACTTGCCCTGGGGGAAAAGGAGGGCTGGCATGGATGTACCTGTAGCCCTCACCCTGAACGTTCTTCCATGGCTCTCTGTCATTCATTCATTGCTTATTCATTTCTCAGGCATGGATTGAGCATACTATGTGCCCGACACTGACCTGGCATTGGATGGACACAGAGATGGAAAAGGCACAGGGAGCAGGTGACAGAGACAAATGAAGGTCATGGAGAACAGCTGAGCAGGACAGAAGATGAAGGCAGGGGATGGAGTTCTAGACAAAGTGAGAGCAGGACTGACTTGTGTGCCTCACCTGTTACTGCTGTAGCCTCTTTTCCTTGGAGTATCCCTTCTGCTCTTGCGTCACCTTAGAAACTTAGATCAGAGAGGATAATTACAGCCTGGATATGTTGTAGTAGGAGGGGACAAATGCTTTTGGAGATAGAAATGCTTGGGGAGGGGGTGTTTTTGGGGGATGAGACTTTCCGGGTCTCTCAATTCATACTATGTAGGTAGATCACTGTACAACTTAAATAAGAGACAACTCTCCGAAGTGGTTGGCTGTGACCCAAAAATGTGTTTTGGGCCTCAGATTCCCAAAGGAAGGGCTGAAGTGTGACTCACCTGACATCAAGCACTGATATCCACTTGCCCCTGCCCTATCAGATTCCACACCTGAAATGCTGGGGGCCCTCTCTCAGAACCTACTCCCCGAGATGTCAAAATATAGCCAAGAGTGTTTCTGGGCCTTCTCCAATCTGAAATTGTTTGGTTTGTGCCTCTGTGTATGTGTGTGTGTGTGTGTGTGTGTGTGTGTGTGTGTGTGTGTGTG